TAGGGGCAGGTCATGTCAGACCAACCTGATTGCCTTTTATGATCAGGTCACAAAGGCAATAGATGGAGCTGTTGCCGTGGACATAGTCTTTATAGACTTCAGTAAGGCCTTTGACACCGTCTCCCACCCTATCCTCATCAAAAAACTAGGCGACTGTGGCATTGATGCCTACACAGTCAGATGGATTGCAGATTGGCTCAAGGGTCGTACTCAGAGGGTGGTGGTGGACGGGTCATATTCGACCTGGGGGGAAGTGGGCAGCGGAGTCCCCCAGGGCTCGGTCCTGGGGCCTGCGCTGTTCAATTTCTTCATCAGCGATTTGGACGACGGGGTGAAATGCAACCTGTTTAAATTCGCTGATGATACCAAAATTTGGGGTGAGGTGAGCACGCTAGTAGGGAGGGAAAGACTGCAACAAGACCTGGATAGGTTACAGGAGTGGGCTGACATAAACAGGATGCGTTTCAATACTGACAAGTGCAGGGTGCTGCACTTAGGCAGTAGAAACCAGCAGCACACTTATAGAATGGGAAACTCCCTTCTTGAGAGCACAGAGGCAGAAAGGGATCTTGGAGTCATTATTGACTCCAAGATGAACATGGGCCGACAATGCGAGGTCACAGTTGGCAGGGCTAACTGGACCTCCACAGGTCTGCATCCACATGTCGTGCATCCACAGGTGCATCTCGAGTACGGCCAGGGAGGTGATCCTCCCCCTCTATGCAACGTTGGTCAGACCACAGCTGGAGTACTGCATCCAGTTCTGTGCACCCCATTTCAGGAGGGATGTGGACAACATTGAAAGGGTCCAGAGGAGGGCCACCCGCATGATCTGGGGACTACAGGGCAGACCCTACGTTGAAAGACTGCGGGACCTAAACCTGTTCAGCCTTCACAAGAGAAGGCTGAGGGGGGACCTGGTGACTGTCTATAAACTCACTAGGGGGGACCAGAAGGGTTTAGGGGAGACACTGTTTCCCCTAGCGCCCCCTGGCATGACAAGGAACAATGGACACAAATTATTAGAGAGCAGGTTTAGATTAGACATCAGCAAGAACTACTTCACAGTTAGGGCAGCTAGGAGCTGGAACCAACTTCCTAGGGAAGTGGTGCTGGCTCCTACCCTGGGGATCTTTAAGAAGAGGCTTGATGACTACCTGGCTGGACTCATTTCAGTCGTCTTTTCTCCCGCCCAGGCGGGGGGTCGGACTTGAAGATCTACAAGGTCTCTTCTGACCCTACTTCTATGATTCTGTGATTCTATGAGATGCAAGCTTCAATCTCTGGACATGCTCTGGAGAGATCTGAGCCATCCCCATAGGTGCACAGAGACTGTTTATACCTCATAACAATTCAGACTTGCACCTGGCCTCTGGGCCCTGAGCCAGCAGGAAAAGTTAGTTGGGCATCAGCTACAACTAGCAACACTTTGTTGCTTGTGCTACATGATGCAAACCTGTTTGGCAGCAAGTTTGCTTGCCCTTGCCTGACCCACATAGAGGGGACTTCAGGCAATGGTAGGATGAGAGACAGGTGGTTGAAGGAGACTTAAGAGAGAGTAGAGACAGCATAGATGTGGGGGCCAAGGGCAAGGTAGTGGGCCAGGAATTAGAGAAGAGTTGAGAGGGCCTTGGGGAAGAAGAGGGACACTTTGGGTAGATAACCAGTGGTGAAGAAGAGGGTAGATGTAGCTGGAGCAATGGGAAAGTGTCTAAAGGGTGGCTGCCGGTAGTATGCCAGTAGCAGTGGAGTGCAAGTATTCTGTGCTGCAGCAGCAGCAGCAACCAGGGCCAGGCAGACCTCTCTTTGCCAGCAGCAGCCAGGGCCTTTTAGTCACTGGGGCAGGTAGGACTGACCACCCACTGCTGTTTAGCACACAGCAACTTGTGCAGGTTTTAGCCTGGGAGTCAACTTCCCCCCAGGGTTTTTGCCCAGGGCACAAAACCTGCTAGTTATGCAGGTTTCCACCCTCTGAGGAGGGGGACCCCCCCCAGGCTCTCCTTATCCCAGACCACAATCCTTTTGACAAGCTCTAGGGAAAATGGCCATGGTCACCCATTAGCCATCTGGAAGGGGGACATCTTAGACGTAGTCTTGGAGAAGGCTCGGTCTGACAGACTGCACACAGGTTGGGTGTTTTCTCTCCTGCTGAGCCTGCATGGAAATGAGAAGGAAAACTGTGCTGTAATGCTAGGTGCAGGGCAGCTGTTCCCCTTTCCTTTGTTGCTTCTCCCTTAGAAGCATCTAGGCTCTGCTTTTAGACACTGTGGGTGCATCCAGATGAGTAAGCATGTGGCTTTTGTGGTGTCTGAAGAGGCATGCTGGGAATGAGAAAATGAAATCCTGGTACCAAGAAAAAAAATGCCAGAAAAAATCAGCATGCCTTGAAGCAACCAGAGGGTGGAGCCTCCATAGAGATGCTCTGGCACCCACTGCCTCAGTGTGCTTAGGCAAATGGGAGTGGGGCAAGGCTGCAGCAGTAGATCAGACCCAGGTGCTATCCCAGGTAATCAGAGACATGGGAGTGGGGGGGACTGGGGGGTGTGGGGACTGTAGGTGAAGGAACTGTGTGGGGACAGAGGTGGGGGGGATTGTGGAAGTGGGTGGGGAGGGACTGTGGGTGCGGGGGACTGCTCTGGAGGGGTGAGGCCCCCACCTGCTTCCTCCCTGCATGCCACACAGCCTCCCCCCCCCCACAGCAGCAACTGCCGAGGCACTCATAGCCCACTACTGCCCCCTGGCAGTGTGGTGTGGCCCTTGGAGCCTGAAACCCAGTGCCACCTGTGCCACATGGCGCCGTGCCACCCGACCCACTCAAGCTCACCTTCAGCAGAACTGGATTGTTCTTGGTGTCACCTGGAGTCCCAGCGCTGCAGGCAGAAGCCATATACCCTTGGGCCAGGCTGTGTCAGCCCAGCCCAAAGAAGCATGGAGCACATGGGGCAGGACCCAGCCCGGCCCAAGGGTGTGCGTCTTCTGCCTGCAGTGCTGGGACTCTGGGTGAGAGCAAGAGTGGCCTGGCTTTGCCTGAAGGCAGGCGTGAGCAGGCCAGGCCAGTGCAGTGCCATGTGGCCAGGTGGCACTGGGACCCAGGTGGTTGGGGCCATGCCACACTGCCAAGGGACTCTGCCAGTAGTGGGCTATGAGCACCCCAATGGCTGCTGTTGCTGTGGGGAGGGGGGGCAGCTGTGCACCATGTGTGAGGCGAGGGGGACAAACTCCTCCTGAGCATTCCCTCCCACCCCCACAATCCCCCCCACACACATACACACACACAC